CCGTTCCGAAAGCAGAACGGGCCGTTCTGCTTAAAGACTCAGAGTGACATTTCTGAAAGTGAAACGGGCCAAGAACGGGCCGTTCCAGCGTTAAGAAATGTCACTCTGAGCCTTTAAGCAGAACGGCCCGTTCTGCTTTCGGAACGGGCCGTTCCGCTTCCAACAGCTGCCCACGTTTCCCCACATGCACGAAAAAAAAAATATATAAAACCAACTCAGAATTCGGTTCCCCGGGAACCGAATTCTGAGTTGAAAAAACAAAAAAAAAATATTTTGATGCTCAGAATTCGGTTCCCCGGGAACCGAATTCTGAGCTTGAACAGTGAATGGTTATAACTTGGTAAATAAACATGCACAGTTGTTAATTGGGTAATTTTTTTAAAAAAAATAATATATAGGTAAAAAATTCTGCATACCACATATTTCTTTTCTCTATTAATTAATTTTGCGTACTCTTCTAACTAATTAGAATGCATATCTTTTAAACTTATTTAGTTTAGATAATATAAAATAAAAAGTGACATATTTAAATTATATAAAACAAATTACTATTAAAAATAAATTAATTGCAAATAATTAATCAATTGATAGATGATGTTTCCAATTCTCAACAAAAAGTTTCCATAATGATAAGAAAATAAATCAATAATATTAAATATAAAGAGAAAAATGTTATACAAATATATTATTTATTTATTTTCTTCTTTTATTGTGTGAATCTCTATAAGTGTTAAGTTAAAATTATAAATAAGAGTTGTCTTAAATATTTTATTTTTTTCTTTTATCTCTAATTTATTGGATAAGAACCTAATGACTAGCCTACTTCAAGGCCCAAACATGCAACAAAAGACCAACATGGCTATCGGATTATTATTAATGGGTTGATATATTCGTTCAACAGTGAATATATTTATCGGATTATTATTAACAGTGAATTCAACACTCATCTTACCTTCACCTCACTCCATCATATGCACTAGTTAGTTCACACCAACTCCATTGCTTCATTTCATTTACTTTCTTTCTCCTTTGTTGATCCACCCTCCCCTTAACCTTTAGATTTTAGAGATCCTCAACTAGAAAAAGTTATCGACTCTTTTTTTCTTGTTTTTGATAAACCTCATGGTCTCCATCCACCCAAACCATATGACCATCATATCAATCTTATTCTGCACGTTTTTCTAATTAATGTAAATCCATATAGATATCTTCATTCTCAGAAAGATGTTATGACCCAACTCATCCAAGATATGTTGGTCAATGAGGTTATTACCCCCAATAC